TAGAAATAATCAAAAAATATGGTAAAAGACTGTTACAATAGTCGTAATATTGACATTGAGGCTGTTTCTGCATTCTATATTTTGTTAAACTTTGACACTGACTCGAAATTAAAATTAAACAATTTATTTTTTCGTCTTGTATACAATTTACTATTTTTCATTGAGACCGCTTCTCCGAATTATCGTAAGACAGTAGATGATAATTATTTTAATAGCATATACATGTAGGCAACATGATTAATTGTAAATCAATTATCACCTAGTAGTATAAGTGTCACCTGAATAAACATCCCGTTTCTCGAGAACCGCGTCTTCTGCCTGGGGCCATTTAAATGTCCAGGTGAAGTCGCTAATTATGTAACATTGTAAACACATAGCTACTTCGAGGTTTCAAGGGTAAATTCCAATAGAATATGCATAGCGGGACTGCATTTTGACTTCGAGGGATCAAGGGTTACAAGAGATCGAGAGTTCGAGAAATCAAGAGTAAATTTGCTTAGTTATATAGGGGAAAAATCGGGACCGGAGACTCATTTCGAGCGATCAAGAACTTCGAGAGATCGAAGTTCGAGCCATCAAGAGTTACCTGTATTTAAAATGATTATGTGAAATTGAAGCAAAATATGGTATTTCAAAGTTAATTTACAACATGTAGATATTATTTCCCAAGCTCAATATTAATACAAATTAGACCTTAGATCATTCTTAAAGTAACAGTTAATTTAATTTAATTTCAACCTTGGTCTTGAGAGAAACGAGCATCTAAAAATGGCTAAAAAAATCAAAATCATTTATTTAGGATCTATAAATAGATGTGTTTAAAATAAAATATTAATTTGAAATAAGTTTTTCCTCGTTAATTGTGTTAATTGGACTATGATTTTGAAAATAAAACAAAATTTGAAAATAAACTGATGACAAAAGGTAACTTTTTGACTTGATCAATTTGTAAACATTTTCCATTAAATTTTGTGTGATTTTCGACAAATATGCAAATGAGCTGTTACTTAAAATAAATGCAGGGTCTGACATTTTTTGTGGATATTCTGTCTTCTTCCTTTATGTAGAAATTTTAAGCCACTAAAAACTCCCAAGTTGCAACCTTCCATTTGGACCATTTTTAGCTCACCTGAGCCGAAGGCTCAAGTGAGCTTTTCTGATCGAAATTTGTCCGTTGTCTGTCGTCGTCGTCGTCGTCGTTGTAGTTGTTGTAGTCGTCGTTGTTGTCGTAAACTTTTTACATTTTCATCTTCTTCTCAAGAACCACTGGGCCATTTTCAACCAAACTTGCTAAAAAGTATCCTTGGGTAAAGGGGATTCAAGTTTGTTCAAATGAAGGGCCACGCCCTTTTCCAAGGGGAGATAATTATGAATTAGAGAAAAATTAATGGCATTTTTAAAAAATCTTCTCAAGAACCACTGAGCCAGTAAAGATGAAACTCATGTGGAATCATACTCAGGTAGTGTAGATTCAAGTTTGTTCAAATCATGACCCCTGGGGGTAGGGTGGGGCTAAAATGGCCGATCAAAGTTTTACATAGGAATATATAGGAAAAATCTTTAAAAAATCTTCTTTTCAAGAACCACTGGGCCAGGAAAGATGAAACTCATGTGGAATCATCCTCAGGTAGTGTAGATTCAAGTTTGTTCAAATCATGACCCCCGGGGGTAGGGTGGGGCCAAAGCAGCCAATCAAAGTTTTACATAGAAAATATATAGGAAAAATCTTTTAAAATCTTCTTCTCAAGAACCACAGGGCCAGGAAGGATGAAACTCATGTGGAATCATCCTCAGGTAGTTTACCGTATATACTCGCCTATAAGTCGGTATTTTGGGAGTTAAATTTTAGTCCAAAAGTCTATGTCCGACTTCTAGGCGAGTCATTAAAAGACAGAATTTTTTCTAGATGGCGAATCATAGTATTCTTTAAACATTTTCAACAGCTATCGTTGAACAAAGAATGGATACATTATATCATTTATGTATTATAAGATTATACATAAATTACATGTATTTTTTATACATGTATTTAATTAAAAAAAATATTTTTAATCTTAAGAGGGCAGAATCTATTTTCTATGATTCAAAGTAAAATATCGACTTCATTTCTCAAAATATTAATTGAAATCAGGGTAAAACACCAGAGCATTTATTAAAAATTGTCATCTGATGCTGGAAAAAAATTGTAGCCCAACCGACTTATAAGCGGGTCAATGGCAAATCCCTGCCAAATCACCTCAAAAAATACAACCGACTTATAGGCGGACCGACTTATAGGCGAGTATATACGGTAGATTCAAGTTTATTAAAATCATGACCCCCGGGGGTAGGGTGGGGCCAAAATGGCAAAGTTTTGCATAGAAATATAAAGGAAAAATCTTCTTCTCAAGAACCATTGAGACAGTAAAGATAAAACCCATTTGAAATCATCCCCAGGTAATGTAGATTCAAATTTGTTCAAATCATGACCCCGGGGGTAGGGTGGGGCCAAATGGCCGACTAAAATTTTACATAGGAATATATAGGGAAACCTTTTAAAATCTTCTTTTCAAGTACTTCAAAGCCATGCTTAGTGATGTTTATAGGGAATCATCCTCAGGTAGTGTAGATTCTAGTTTGTTCAAATCATGACCCCCCGGGGGGTTAAAATTCAAGCCCCCCCCCCAGTAAATTTTCAGTTCTGATCTGATATGTGCTTTTCCTAGCCAATTGCTCAGGTGAGCGATGTGGCCCCTGGGCCTCTTGTTTGAAAATTGCATGGTTTTCTCGCGGATTGGCTCTTAAGTAAATAGAGTAAGCATGCTAAGTCTATAATTATGATAAGCAATGGTACCTCTTTCAAAATTGTGAATTGCGAATTTCATGGCCTCTGGTTTAAAACACGAACCAGATTTAATTGTTTCAAAGTTGTTGCACAATACTCAGGTGACCTATAAGGCCCGTGGGCCTCTTGTTCGATCTGTTGTTAAAAGAAACAGAGACTTTAAGGATTAGTTCACGGCGAGAAATATTCACGATGATGAGGCTCTCGCGAAAATTTCTGGTATAAACCAGACATTCATTGTTCCAAGTTGTGTCTTAAATGGTTGCATTTGCAACCAAAAATTAAGTAATGTAATACTAGCATGCTGTAGTCTACAACAAGTGCACAACATGTGTACAGTACACGCTAGGATTTAAGTGATTTGAATTGTTTTATTGAAAGATTAGTAATTGCTAACGTTTAAATGATACACAATCAATAATTAATGCATAATGGGAAGCAGAGCGACAACATGTGATGCGTGGCGAAAGATCATGAATACATGGCGGTACCAATGGCCTAGGGAAAACACTGGGTGGGAAGAGAACTGAAAATTACTATAAATACACAAAATAAGACCAATGTTTGATAACTCCAACCAACCCATCTAAATTTTCCATGCTCAAATGGGTTGTTTTTTTTAATGCATATAGTTCCTTCTGTGTATTCCTCTATACAGTGACAAGGTTTTATGTTTTTATAGGTATTGAATGTTTTAGATTTCAAGTGGATTTCATATGAAAGGAATACTGTATATACTCGCCAATGAGTAAGATTTTGGGAGTTAAATTTTAGTCCAAAACTCTATGTCCGACTTATGGGCAAGATATAAAATGATTGGTATTTTAGAAGGCCAAGCCTTCTAACAAAAGCTTCAAAAATACAACCTACATATAGGTGGACCGAAGTATGGGCAGTTCTACCATTATCTACCATTACTCCTCGGATTATTGCCGAGATCAAAGAAATGCCGCGGACATTATTCTCCAATAAATCACGGACGTCATCACATAATTATCAGATCAAAAACAGTATCAAACCTGAACAATTCAATTGCATGTTTGACGGTAGAATGATATACTTGTTTAGACCATATTGATGTTTCGTCTTTTGCAGTATAAACACTGTAAATTGCATAAACTTGCTGATGAATGTCGGATTTTATTGCTAAAAGAGGCCATTCCACGGACCTCCCTACATATCTAAACAACGTGAAACTAGTCCAATAAAGCAGTAAAACAGGAACGTTGAAATTGTTATTGTATATTCATTAAAATTAATGAATTAATTATTACAAAAAAAATCTAATATAACACGGCTATTTTTAATGGAGCGAAAGCTCAAATCGTCTGCATTCCGTACACAGGTTAGCAAAACAAATTTTCCCTCTGGTGTTGAATGGAACAAGCGTAATCGAGACATGGTGACCTAATTCGAATAGAAATAAAGCCGTTGTTGTTGTGAATGATGCAGAATAACCTCCTCAGTCTCGTAATGTAGTTTGAAATATGAAAGTCTCGGCTTTTATCTTTCAAACAACATTTCTCGACCTCGGAGGTTATCCTGCAACATTCATGAAACGCGGACTTTATTTATTAAGTATTTACGGTAATTTCAGTTTTACAGTCTAGCACTTGTTATTTCAAGGCATGTTAGCATTTGATCTCCTCACAGAGTATTATTTCATATTACAACATGCATAAGTTTATTCATATAACAACTTAATCATGTCAACTACAGATTTTTTCAGATGAAACAGTATTTTAATGATATTTTTAATGAAGTTTTTAAATACACATGATGCAACTAATTAAAAAGCATCGTCTTTTGATACAATGCGTAGTGGCTTTCAAATTACATTGAACTGTGTCATATATGTTTTATTTAATCAATACACAGTCCTAAAATCAACACATGTATTTGATTTTCATGACTTGTCTGCTTCCCCATTGAGCAACAAACAGATAGTCGTTTGTATCTGTATACAGTCCATGGGGAACACTAAGTCCACAGACTATGTAACGGACGAACTGTCCATCTTGGTCTATGATGTGGACACAGTCATTGTTATAATCAGCTGTAAGGATGTGACTCTGACTGTCTGTGGTGATTCCTCGTGAATTGAATGGTTGGTTCTTTGGAGCAGGAGTATGTCCAGTGTACCTGAATCTTAGTTTCCCGGCCTGATTGACCACCACTACTGCTCCAGCTCCACTGTCAGACACACAGATATCCAGGTTCCTGTTCTCAGTTATGTATCTGTTATAACTATCAAAGGAATAGAGAGGTTTACCTTTTTCATCAAACTGAATGGTTTGTTTTTCTGTGGAGCCAGAGTAATGGACAACTTTTGTTTGTTTGTTATCATCACTGATCATGATAACCAGGAGGTCACCAGAGGAGGTACTACATACACCGCGAGGTCTCCAGTTCTGTAGTCTGACCAACTTCTCTATCTTCTGATTCTTCACAATGTTCACAGTTCTATCATTGTCATCAGTATAAACTAGATCTCCACTTTTTGTCACTTCTATGTCACATGGTCTGTTCCCTGACTTGGTTGTGATTGACTTGAGTAGTGATCCCTGATTGATGCTGTAGAGTTCCATGGTGCTGTCACCTCCACTTGTCCAGATTTCTTTATCACCCAGACAGGCCACATTATAAAGGTAACCTCTGTACCCAGTGCCTATGGTGGTGACAGTCTCTGGTTCATCAAGCAGTTGTTTTACTGGAGGAGAGGATCCAGCTTCTGATGATTTCTGTGTTGTCTTCATGCTGTAGCCATGTTTTTCTGATGTTAAAGAACTTGTTGATAAGGTTCCAAACAGTTTACATAGCTCCTCTTTGATATTTCCTGGAATGAATTTGGGTAAGGATAGCATAATTTTGGGTGGAAGATTTCTGTATCTATGTACATTAGATGTTACACTAAACAGTTTTGACAAGTCATTAGTGTCTATTGCTATTTCAACTGATTTGATTTCATCCTTGATGTCAGACATTGTCTTGTTTATTTCATCCAGATGTTTCTGTAGAGTTTGTAACTGCGTGTTTTTCATCTCATCAACTTTAGCTTTAAGTTTCTGGACAAGTTTGTCAATTTCTCTGTGCCAGTCCTCTCCATGTTTTGTTATGGCTGTTGAGAGATCTCCGTATTCCTTTTCTAACTGACTCATTCTGTTTTGTACATCAGAGGCAATGTCCTGGTAGGTGGGATAAATTTTCTCCTTTAATTCAGTTTGTTCTTTGATTATTTTGTCTTTTTTATTGTCCACGACTTGTACGATTTCTGATAACATATGACCAAGGTGTTGATCAGATGCTAGACACTTTGAACAAACAGGAATGTCACACTGATTACAGTGCAATGTACATTTTTCTTTGCTATGAGTTGTGCATCCAGGGTAAAGGAAAGTGGATTTCCTGGCCTGAAATTTGACAACTTTGTGATCCTTGGATTCATCTGTTGAGATGTGTTCTCCAACACAGGCCTTACACAGATTGACAAGACATGTATCACAGTGCATCTGTACCACAGCGGTCTCACACAGGTCACATCGCAATACGTCCTGGGCACTGGTACGGGGGTCCATGGTTAAACTATTGACTCTAGAGTAAAGATTTAATTAGGCTTAGAAATGGAGCTAAGATTTTGGAAAAAAAAACATCATATATTTCAATTGTTTCTTTCAGAGGGGCATTTATTTGCTAAATTATATGTTTGATTACAGAGTTTTAAATAAAATAATATATTATTTTGTTTCACCCACAGTAAAATTTAAAGTCCATGGGTTCATGCCCCAGAGTGGGGTTTGACCTCATACATGTGTTGCAAATACATTGATCTTCTGAACTAGTCTAAGGGACAATGATCAAGCAAAGTGTTTGAATGTATGATAAATATCATCACTTATCGAGGCCTGTACTAAATTATAAACATGATAAATATTGTTGATAGATGTAGCTGAGTTGCCCACATTAAAAACTTAGAGCAGGATGATTCATTCTTTATTGCATTGATCTTAAAAATCCTTGGTAACGTTTTGGTTTTCAAAAAATCTTTTAAGCTATAAACCCATGCATTTATACTGTTATCTAGCAGGTAAAATTTTCAATTAAAATATTAGAATGTTAAATTGATATGTAAATATTACCTTAAGTTTAAGTCTGTAATGGCTGCCAATAAAGTCGGTGTTGTTGTGTTCTGGTCACATGACCTAATTACTGTGTATCTAGCTGTCAGGTATTTATACTTCCTGGTCTATTTATAGCTGGGATTTAAATCTCTGCATTGTACTATGCCGTGCTTCACTGCTTTTAATATTTAATAATAAATTATTGACAGTAAAATAATGATATATCTCAGCATGAAATAAAAAATTTCAGGTAAACTGGCCACTCAAAGAGTATCCGATGATACTACCATTATAATCCTCACCCTTCCCCTCCTTATCCCTTTTCCTACTACACCAAAAATTGTCATAAAACAATAACTCTTATTGAAATTTGATTCTGCTAACTCTAATCTCATTGACATTAGTTAAATTAATAATAACTTTAGGTAATAATTTAGTCTGAATTAAATTACCTCAGTCACATCTTAAACATGTTATTGATTATTGTACAAGATGTAAGATTGATTGTGAGAGTTTCTGTATAAATTATGGAGATAATGGACAGAATTCAAGCTCAATGTTGATTTTAACAATACAATCATGTACAAATCTGGCAAACATGGACCTCTAAAAACATAAGAACTGGGATTAGGTGTCATGGAGGAGTGAGCATCCTCTACAGACCAGTCACATCCGCCGTGTGTGCCTTGAAGTGATCAGCAAAAAGCGGAAAAAATCTGTAGAAAATTCATTGTGAAAATAATGGCCTAACAATATCTAATATGTCAGAAAACAGGTTTTCTACTTGATAATCAGCATATGCTTATGTAAACATTGTAAACATTGAAAAATATGATACACAGATATAACAGATATGGTACCCATCTTTTACTTAAAACATTCTTTATTTATTTCAGCTTTCTTGGATACAGATATAAACGGAATTCCCAGTGAATTAGAGAGCTTGATAATTTTGAAATATAAAGACACATACTCGGTAAAAAAATTTTGTTCACTTCTACTATGTAACACTGGCAAAGGGTTTCTGATCAAGACAATTTTAATGTAACCAGTTAGTAAGAATATCTTTAAAGCTTTGACGATCTTCTAAATTGCAGATATTTAAACCTGGCATCGATTATGCGTTTATACAAGTTAAAAATTGTGTATTTCTGAATCTCTCTTAAGTTGGTTTATATTGCAGTACAACTATTTAAAACATTGAGATATATGGAGGTAATAAACAATATTAAAGGTCTTACCAAACAGTGTCCTGGGTATTTTGGGTTGTATACGGAAATGAGTTCATCTGAGCAACATTAATCAGCCTGAAATAACATTTGGGATTTTTTACCCAATTTGGAGGCAGCAGAGTCGATCAAAGCTACTTGATTGCGAAGATGAACTTCAACTAGTGCGGCTCATCACCCTTTCCTTATGACGTCAGTAAGACCCCCTCGCTACATGCAGTACCAATATTTATATAGCCGATCATGATTTGTCCAACTAAATTTTTTTTAAGCACGATCAGAGTATGAGCACAATTGACCATGTACTTGATCGGTAACACACACATTTAAGTAAAGCTGGATACGATTGACAGCGTTGTGTGATAGTGAAACTAAAGCTGCGGATAAATGATTGCTTCCTCGTCTTCTCCTCTCTCAGTTTTTCCTTACTCTCTTTTGGCTTTCCCTTTTTTATTAACTCTTTCCCATCCCGTATTTTTTTTTACCAACGTCGGTACATTTACACATAACACTGTGCCTTTTTAAATATGGTGATAATTGTAAAAAGTCAGCCTCGGACTTAAACGCAATCCATGTATCCTACATTTCTGTGTGTATTGACAGATCAAATTTTCTATTTATTTGAAATTTGAAATACTAAAGAGCAGTGAAAATTTCAGAACGCAGTGATGTTTATTATTCACGCAAGACAACTTGTCCACGATTTTACCGGACAACCCTTGTATATATCATTTTCATTAGTTCTCGAGTTTCAGATTGCAGAAGCTTGCATTCAAATACACCGACTTTTTATAGATCCACGTTTATCATGAACTTCAATCTAACCATGTTCATTTAGGGAAGGGGGGGGGGGGAGGTTACATCGTGTATCATGTACGTGTAAAAACAAACAAGAAGGTTGTTGTTTCTAAGGTATTAATTTAAAATAAGTACTAGTAATCTTGGTTGGGGTGAAAAAATCTTGATTTCAACGGGGTTTTCATCAGGATCATCTTACTATGAAAAGCTTTCGTTTTTAGTTTATGTGCCCAATTAACGATAAGTTCAAATAGACTAAACTGTTCTTTAGAATTAGATAGCTCAACCAAAAATATAATCACATTTATATCCACAAAAAAGACTAAAAATAACTCAATAAAATACAGTAAAATTACACTAGATTCAATGCGTTGTTTACATCAATGGGTCTTTGTGACGTCATAAAAACACAAAATCAAGGACGATAAGCAGGTAACAAGTTAATCAAGTGGACAAGTTTAGGCCTTTATTTTTCTGTAAAGCAAAAGCAAATGTTTTTTTACCAAACGCGATTTAACATTCTTTCATACCAGTCTTAATGTTTAAAAAGTAAAATCCTAGTGTTATGAATTGTTTCGTACGACCTTTAAAGTCAAAATCCATAAAAAAAATACAAACTTGGAGCAGAGCAATCAGAGACCTCATAAACATCAGAAGTTGGATGAGGTGCCAAGGAAGAGTGAGCATCCTCTGTTGACCGGTCACACCTGCCTTCTGCTCCTTTTCATGATCGGGAAATAACAGAAAAATAAAACATACAATTTCATGGAAAAGAAATGTTTCCATTGTACATGTTGCAGAGCACGATAAATCAGAAAAGTAAAAGTTTTTTTATTTCCTATCAAGGATGATTTTGAGTACAGCCTTTAGAAGTATAAACTACCACAACTACTGCATACATCTATAACAGACACCAGATTCTGTTTGCATCAGGTAAGTTGATCCTACATCTTTAACAGAGACCAGACTCTGTTTATACCAGGTAAGCTGATCCTACATCTACAACAGAGACCAGATTCTGTTTGTATCAGGTAAGCTGATCCTACATCTACAATAGAGACCAGACTCTGTTTATACCAGGTAAGCTGATCCTACATCTACAATAGAGACCAGATTCTGTTTGTACCAGGTAAACTGATCCTACATCTATAATAGAGACCAAATTCTGTTTGTACCAGGTAAGCTGATCCTACAACAGAGACCAGATTCTGTTTGTACCAGGTAAGTTGATTCTACAACAGAGACCTGATTCTGTTTGTACCAGGTAAGTTGATCTTACATCTACAACAGAGACCAGATTCTGTTTGTACCAGGTAAGCTGATCCTACAACAGACACCAGATTCTGTTTGTACCAGGTAATTATAAGCTGATCCTACATCTATAACAGAAACCAGATTCTGTTTGTATCATGTAAGCCGATCCTACATCTATAACAGAGACCAGATTCTGTTTGAATCAGGTACGCTGA